TGTAAATTTCAATTGAAAGTCAAAAATGTGCCAAAAACCACCGCACCTATATCCGGATATAGGTGCACCCCTTGTGTGAAAACTCACATATAAGTGCATGCACTTATAAGCGGGGTAATACGGTAGTGATTAATATATTTTGCATACCTATTCACAATATTCAAATATATAATTGAGTTTGGTTATTACACTTTATTGTACTTTAATTAACTAGCAATAAAAAACATTGAAAAGCCTGGAGACGAACTAATTACCGATTTTATTCAAATGTAATAAATTTAACATTATATTAATTGATTTATTATTTTATTGCTATATTAATTATAGTAAATTATTTAATTAAACATTTGTTTTTATTTTGATTTATAAATGTTGAATAATTAAATATTTTATAAATTTGAATATTTATTTATTATTAAATTATTCATTATAACGTATAAGAGTTATAATTTAAATATATAATTTATAAAAAATCATAATTAAATAAATTAATTTTGAAAATTGTGATAACATAATCCAGAATGAATTATTGATTAATAATTCATTAATAATGAAGATCTGTTATTTGAATATTAATGGTAAAATTAATCTAATGTAAACACAGCTATATTATCAAATATATTAGTATTAAATTTTATTAAGTTATACAAACAATACTAAATATTTATAAAGTTAAAATTTAATCAATGTTATTTCTAGACAGTAAATGTAATATTTAAATTCAAGGATAGTTTAAATATTATGTTCACTACAACATGAAATACATAACAAATGTTTAACTTGTTAGGTAATTGTTGATTATATTAATTATAAAATGTTTGAAATGAATTGCAATATGATTTGTTTAAAAGTAATTATATACATGTAAGTATATTTGCTTATATTTTGGCCTTTGGTATTAATAGTGTAGTGTGTAACTATTTATAAAATCTCTCTTATAACTAAATATAACATTTAAGGCACCAGAAACATGATTTTATTAATGTTTTTATTATATTAATTATTTTAATAATACAGTAATATAAAATAATAATATTATTTGAAATGATAACAATTGAATATACTTATTGTGCCAGTGAATTTTAGTTCAACAAATACATTAAATGTTATTATTTTTAAATGTAAATATATAATTAATTGTAAAATTGTATTAATATTATCAAAAAAATTTTATATATAATTTATTTCAATTACTTATAAATTTATTCTATCATATCTTTTAATGAATCTAATATAATAGTAATTCTACGGAAATTTTACTAACGTAAAATTCTTTAACAACTATCCACATTACTGAATAAATGTATGCATATCATAATATATCAAAATCCAGCACTTTGTCTAATTTTGTTATTAGGATTATGGTTATTAATATTGACAAATCATATTTCATTAATTATTCTCTGCCTGGAATAATATAACTCTTACCTCACCAACGTTACAATTTATAAACATTTTGGTTACATAATTTATACAATAACTACATTCATCTTTACAATAAATAATACATTGCTATTTTTTGGTGGGATATCGTTTCCGCATGTTATCGTGAATGTCTTCAGCCGTATCATTGATATTGCCTTTACGTTCAATGGCGTCGAATATAATGCCCGTCACATTCAATACCATAGTCTGATTCATATCAGTTTTGACAATATCTAGTTTGCGGCTTATTTTATTACTTTTAACTCGCTCTTTGAACGTATTCCAATTCAGCTATAAAGTGTATAAAATAATATTGGTAGTAATGTTAGTCATTTGATTATAGTACTTTATATCAGCTTTATAAAGCTTATAAAATTTATAATATAATTTTAAATAGTATTTTACTATTGCTTGTAGTATTCATTTTTAAAATGTAATTTGATTGATTAACAAAGCTGTTATAATTATTCTCATTGTGTAAACATAATCGCACATTGTTATATAATTTATCAGGTTATTTTCAAACTAATCTTATCAAATAATTAATTACAAAGTGAAAAGTAATTTTGAAATTACCCTTGGGCTTTGATACAATTTTATTGTGATCATGGCAATTTTCACCCGCAAATATCTTCCACCCACTACCGTAAAGTAACTCTTATATCCGGTGTCCCAATTGGCACTACAGCTCCAATTGCAGCCGTACTCGAGTTCCATCTGTTGGGTCACGTGTTTACACACAACGAATATACTGTTTTGTTGGGCCAACTCTTTCTTGATTATGACCATCGCTTTTTTACTCATATTGGCATCCATTTGGTTATCCAATATTTCAATATTGTGCAGTTTATCTCTGCATTTATTCAGTACTTCGTAATCAGACATGGTTGATATTGGCGTTTGTTCTATGTATATATATTACAATATTATATTATTTATGAAAGTCCATAAGTGGCTTAAGTTTAACATTTAGTTCAATCATAATTATTGCTTTGAATTCAACCATTGAACCAAATATGATAAAAATTCAGATTTATTTATTCCAATGGTTACGTAACGTTAAACTTAAGCCCCTATTAAATTTTTAAATGTAATATATGGTACTAATTAACAGATAGCAAAGCGGGCATATTTGGACTCCTGCGATCATTATTGTCTATAGGAGCTTAAGACTATATCGTCTATATTGTCTAGATCCTAAAGACTATATTGTCTATAGGATCTTTAGATCTTTTGTCCTAAGAGTAGTCCTGGTACTAATAATTAAACTTAGCATATTTGAACTGACAGACTATTTTAATGTATTGTGATAATAATGCAACTTTAGTGACATTATATGCTTAAAAAGATATAGATTTATTCGTTTAATCGATTCAATCGTTTAATGTCACCAGAGTCATTATGACACATTATCTTATTACCTGATACGTTTGACGATAATGGTATGGCTACGGGCTGATTATTACGAGTATGATCACGGTCATTAATAGCGAGTTTTAACGCCTCAATCTCGGCCCGTAACAACTCGATACAATCGTGTTCCAATGTCATCACGTTTTGACATTTGGCACACATCACGATACTGTAACTGCAGTTTACTGTATGTTGTGGCAGTTCGGCAAATTTAGTCACTTGTCGACACCCTTTATCCCAATAGTCGCAACGTATTTTAAACCGACCCATCGTGTTCACCAACACTCTGTAACAGCATGGTGTTTTAATTTATAACAAAATAATTGTATTACAAATAAACAATATTTATAATCTATAGTTAAACTGACCTTGATGCCCGTGACAATTGACTAGATGTCATTGGTTTCCTATCATAAGGACAGGTAGTGTTTGTCTTAAGCCATTCAGTGATACATTCATCGCAAAAGGTTTGTAAACAACAACTTGTAGTGACCGGAGTGTTGAATATCTCCTGACATATACTACACGTATATTCTTCCCGATCTTCAGCCGACAGGTCGGGAAACCGGTCAACACTATAGCCCGGCATTTATAACGCAACTTATAATTGTTTGTTAATATTAAATATAATATAATGAAGACTATTAATGATTCATTAATAATGAAGACCAGTTACTGCTTATGAATTTCAATAGTAAAGTAATCTAATCTAAACGCAGCTATATTATCAAATAATATGCTCATTTATAAAGTTTTACAAACAATACTAAATATTTATAAAGTTAGAATTTAATCAATGTTATTTTCAAATAGTAAACGTAATATTTTAAATTCAAGGATAGCTCTAATATTATGTTCACTACAAAATTGACATTGACATTGATTATGGAATATCAAGGATCATGATTCTATTTTATAATTTGCAAAAAAAATCTATTTGAATTTGTTTTTGTATTAAAATATTTTAAAAATAATTTTGATATTACCATTGAAAATATTAACAAAAATTATGATATAATTGTGATATAAATATTGGTCATTGTTAATTAGTCATATTTATTACATTTAATGATCATATTTTACATTAAATTATAAATTATTGTCGAAATCATAAATGTTGCTTAGTTTTTGGGGGCGAAATGCACTGTAATCTATGGGTAGACCCGTTGTCTTACATAGACATCCAAATGACAGACAACTGGATCTACCCATAGAAAACGCTACCGGGAACTAAGCAGCATTCATGATTTCGACAATACAAACATGTTAAGTTTGAATAAATTAGTTTAAATAATCTCATGTACAACAAAATATTGCTTTTGTTTTATTAAGAAAATTTATAAAGGATAAAGTTTAATGTTAATGGGTAAAATGCCAAAAATTTTATATTAAAAATTTTTATTTTTTTTAATTAGTGAAATTAATTATCATTGTAAGCATAATTGAAATTGATATAAATGATGTTCGGCAATTACGTTATTCGCTATAAAAAACGCACATAACTGATACTAAATTTCTTAATTTTGACATAACTTTTATAGATTATATCAGATTAGAGAAATTCCTTCGGATTTCGATTCTACTCATCCATACCTTTCTATTGATATATAATATGATTTGGTTATTTATATAATAAAAGATTTGATTTTCAAAATTTTCCCGATAAAAGTGGTCACTACGGCCAGACCCAAAAGTATCTGGACATATGAAGTATATCACTCGACTACCTATTGAGTGTACTTTCATTTTATAACAATCATTCCTGGTTGCCCGCTATCACACTAATGAACATTATCTTTTAAACCAATATTGAGTAGTGTTTAAAACTTTAAATTCAATGTTTGGGGGTTTGGAAAATGACCACTTTTAACTGATCAACATTGCATTCAATATACGAGCCTATCGTTCGGTGTATAATAGAATTCCCACAAACTTTACTCCAGACAACACACGACCACATTGTGTGGCCATATCGGGCCTCCATTTGGTATTTAACGAACGGCGGTATGTCTTCAATAATGTTCGTCCGGTCGATGGCCGCAAACACAACGTCCGTCACAACCGATTGCATCGACGCATTCATATCCGTTGCTCTTATATCTAGTTTGCGGGCAATTTTGTTACGCTTGAGTCGAGCCCTCATTACTTGCAAATTGATCTGAGAATATAAGTAGTTATAAATATTAATTATAACTTTTTTAAGCACTTGATTAAAAAATAATCCAAATCTATTACCCTCATGGTATAAAATACGGTGAATGTGATCGGCGCGAATTTCACACGTACATAGTGGCCACGTTCATATTGAATGAACGCATTATAGTCGGTGGTAAAGTTGGCCAAACAACACCATTGGGTGCCGAACTCGAGTTACATGTAATTGACCACATGTTTGCACACATCGTTTATAGTGTTATGTTTTTTCAACATTTTTCTACTGATAAGTCCTGATTATTATGATTACCATGAACCCTTTGTTGGTCACTATCGACAATTTTTAATGGCCTGGTCATTGCCCGAATCGTCTCAGTGCAGCTGTAACGCAGTGCGTGAAAACCATAACAGTTTAAACATTGTACCGGTTTATAGCGACAGTTGTCTGTGTGCTCCTTAAGATGCATGAGTTTAGGGCACCATTTATACCAATAGTCGCACAATGTCTTTGTGGTAAACATGTCAACTATTTTAATAATATAATTTAAAATTATTGTTTTAAATCATAAATTTTCGTAACTTATATTTAGTTCACTCACCTATTGATGGAATACTTTTACATTTAAAGTAATTGCTTATATTTCTTATTAATTTACTCATTAATTATGCTGAAAAGTATCCAAACACAAAACGGTAACATTATGATCTAATAGTACCCGTCGTTATAATAAACATACACTTATCCCATAGACCCATAGATTTAACATTATCCATGGACTTTGAATTACCAATGTTAACCCTATGCCATAGACTTAAGCTGTAATCACATAAAAATTCATGTAAAAACGTCCTTATGTTTAAACTATAATAGCTTCCCCATTTTAAAGTATAGCCATAGGATTAACATAGGATCCCATGTTAAATATCATAGGGTGGGGGAGTAAATATAAGGAGGTTTTTATAAACATCATATTACCACATTTAAAAATTAAATGTTTAATTTTAATCAATAGAATATTTGCAAATATTATACAATCATTAGAAATATGTTAAATTATTATTAATATTATGAATACAAATAAAAATACACCTGAATATTTTATTTAGTGGATTCTTCACATATTTCTACCACAAGCCAAGTTTTTAAAAAATAACAAAGAACATAATTATCGACAACTTTTGCTTTAAGAGTGGTAGGATCTTTTACATAGACAAAGCATTGCCACTTTATATCGGGGAATCGGAAGCCCATGGTCTTTTTAATGGCAATACTTGCATCTTTAATACTGTCCGACTTTTCAATGGCACTAAACACAATGGACCCCACAATCAATTCCATATAAGTATTTATATTTGCACTAATTTGGACTTGTTGTATTATCCGGTCAATTTTGTTATGCATTATTCGGGCCTTTAAATTAGCCCAATCAAACTATTAATATAGAAAATACAATCAATAATATAGCTAGCAGAGTTATTTTAAAATATACATATTATATACATATGTATGTATATTAAATTTAAAAAATATTTAATATGATATTTAATATGGTAAAATATTTTTAAAAAATACATTACACTATAAGTATGAAACACGATGAATGCGATCGGGGTGAATTTTACACACATATAAGAACCCTGTTTGGCTTTAAGGGACCAGAAACTATCGCTGTTAGAGTCCACTAAACAGTGCCATTTGGTGCCGAACTCGAGGTTCAGGTAATCGATCACATGTTGACATACTTTGTGTATTTTGTCCTGTTTTACTAATTGTTGCCTAATTATGGCCACTATTTTGTCGTACATATCGGCGCTCATTGTGTTGTATTGGCTTAATGTTTATATAAGTGGACTTTATATTAAGGTTATGTTTGACCCGGTCTAAAATTTTTTTGTTATGAGCCAGGTCAGCGGTTCAAACTCTCATCAATACATGTGTTTAATGTGTTTACATTTATGTAAAAAAAATTATTAAATTTATTCCATGAAGTGTTGATTTTACCCGAAGACACGATACCGAACACAATTAAAGATTTAAACTATTTTAGATGTTACTCATGAGGATTAGTAAATTGACTCACAAAAACAATGTATCAGTTTTAGGTGATGTATTATTTACCAATCAATGTTATAAATTGTTTAATAAGTCTATACCTATTGGTTATGTCCACTAAAACCGCACCCGAACGGGCCGACCCCGGAAAGTGGAAAATCATGTGCCAAATTATCGGGATGTGTCCAATCCTTGACATTCATATATAAAATGATTGGTCATTATGTGCTTTTACTGACCAACAATATATGACTAATTAAAAGCGATTATCGCGGTGTCCGGAGCCGATAATTAGACATATGCTCAAAATATGGCTATTTTTGGCCTATTTTTTGACCATATTTTTCGAAAATCGTCCGAAAAAAATTAGAGGACCGTGAGTGACAAATGTCTCCACACCCACCATATACTCCAGTTATCCCACTATCACATGACTGTTAATACCATTCTCTCGTGTCATGTTTTAGGGGTGAAAATGCTAAACAAAAGTAGTGGTCGAAACAGACACCACTTACTTCTTTGACTCTCAGGGCAGCCATTTTTATCGGGAATTAAATGAAAATTTGTCCGAATAATGACCAATAGTTGCCGATAATTATAGCTATTTTATAATTTGAATTAACTTTTTTAATAACAATAAAAATGAATTATTTATTTTCTATTGAATCAGTCCTGTTACTTTTCCATTAAGTCAATATATGACTACCGGTTCCGACAGGTGTTGCATACACTCGGCCAGAATTTGATCTTCAGACTGGTAGTAAAAAGTATTTGGTACTAACGCTAAAACAGTTATATCGGTATTAGTTGAGTTAGCTATGAGTGGAGCAAGAGTTTTCATCACAGTGTAACCCTAGTGATAATAATATTTATTTTTACCTTCACTACTTTCGGACGTATCTCTCCAATTACTACTACTGCCTGATGATGACTGTGCATCACCATCACCACTGCTACCACCATTATTACCATGGTCACGTTGGTTACCATTATTAATGATTTTTAACGCATCGATCTCTGCCCGTAACGATTCAATACAATCGTGTCCTGATGTCTGCACGCATTGGCATTTTACACATGTTACGTCTTTATAGCGACAGTTGACTGTATGTTGCAGTAAATTATCAATTGGGGTCAATTTACTGCACCCCCTGTCCCAATAATCACAACGTGTTTTAAACGGGCCCAATGTGTTGGCAGTCATTCTGAAACATTATGATGAAATGATTTATCCATTAATGTTATTGCACAATAAATAGATTTTTAAAAAATAGTTATTAGTTAAGTTATTAATAATAACTTATTATAAACATAATAATTACCACAAAATATAGTTACTATTAAATTTTAGATTCTAACAATTAAAATCAATTATTTTACAA